GTGTTCGAAAACAAGTCTTTCTGGAGACGTTGCTTACATTTTTTGTACTTGCCTCTATTAACCCTTATTTTCATTGACTTTCTTAAATGTGTACCATTTTTCTTCAAAACACGATGGAGCAATAAATATATGTTATCCACATCAAACAATGTTGTCGTGTTTGAAAACAAGTCTTTCCGGAGACGTTGCTTACATTTTTCGTACTTGCCCCTATTTATCCTTATTTTCCTCGACATTCTTAAACTTGTACCATAGTGCTTCAAAACACGATGGGGCGATAAATATATGTTATCCACATCAAATAATGGTGCCGTGTTCGAAAATAGGTCTTTCCGGAGACGTTGCTTACATTTTTCGTACTTACCCCTATTTACCCTTACTTTCCTTGACTTTCTTAAACGTCTACCATTTTGCTTCAAATCATGATGGGGCGATAAATATATGTTATCCACATCAAATAATGATGTCGTGTTCGAAAACAAGTCTTTCCGGAGATGTTGCTTACATTTTTTGTACTTTTCCCTATTTACCCTTATTTTCCTCGACTTTCTTAAACGTGTACCAGTTTGCTTCAAAACATGATGGGGCGATAAATATATGTTATCCACATCAAATAATGGTGTCGTGTTCGAAAACAAGTCTTTTCGGAGATGTTGCTTACATTTTTTGTACTTGCCTCTATTTACCCTTATTTTCATTGACTTTCTTAAACGTGTACCATTTTTATTCAAAACACGATGGAGCAATAAATATATGTTATCCACATCAAATAATGTTGTCGTGTTTGAAAACAAGTCTTTCCGGAGACGTTGCTTACATTTTTCGTACTTGCCCCTATTTATCCTTATTTTCCTCGACATTCTTAAACTTGTACCATTGTGCTTCAAAACACAATGGGGTGATAAATATATGTTATCCACATCAAATAATGGTGCCGTGTTTGAAAATAGGTCTTTCCGGAGACGTTGTGTAATATCCCGTCAATTTTAGTATAAATTATATTTTTAGTTCCGATATTAATTTTCGGAGTTAATTATTTTCAGTCAGTTCAGTCAAAATTACCGGAAATTATTTTCGACGTACCGTTTACGTTCGAAATAATTTTGGTAATTAAGTGTTATGCTTAATTAATTAATTGAGCTTTAATTTGGGATTAATTGAAATTAATCACCATTAGCATTATATAATGTATTCGGATTTTTTTCTATTTAGTCTCAAAAAGCCGTACCATTAAGTGGTGAATTAAGAGTTGTTTTATCCAAACTTCTTCCTATTTAGTGGAACTTTAAACGTGTCCTAATGGGAGAAATGAGGTGCTTAGTCATCTAATCTTTATGTATTAATGTTACAAGTGGCTTTAGGAGAATTAATCTCCAAAAAGCTCCCCACCTCTCGGCCATGTATATAAAGAGTTAAGTTGGAGAAATTTTCCATCCTTTTCCATATGTATATTCTTAAGTTCAGCATATAAGTTCATAGTGCCGAGAGATAAGAGAGTAAGTTGTGTGAATTTGGAGTGTTGTTCGTGAGCTATTGCCGAGAGCTTTCTACAAGCCATCGCACATCCGAGCCATTGCGCCGTACCGCAAGCAGTTGCGCACCGTAGGCTATCGCAAGCAGCAATCGTCGCACTCGTATCAGTAGTCCTTCACGGCAGCCAGCATATCGTTCATTGATCAAGAGTACGCAAGCATCCACGAGTGTTGTAGTAGTCCGTCGCGCATACCGCAAGCCATCGCACGGCGTCGCACACACGCGGAGGGTCACGGCCGAGTACGGGAGTTCGAAAAGATTAGTCACTTGGGCTTAATCAAAGGTAACTTTCGACGGTTGTTGACCGAGATTAGCATGTTTATTAAGTTTAATTCTTAGTTAAACGTGCATGCGTGTTAGGTGTGATAAAAGCCGTAGCCGTGCCGATCATGTTATGCTCTAAATTATATGTTCCGAACTATCCTCGCATATTCAGCTTTTGTATGCCAAATCATGTTTAGTTTAACTTAAATGTTCGGATGATAAGTCATGTTTGCGGTGTTGCGGCCAAGGGTGACGTGGTTGCACACGTAAAGCACCACGGGTCGTATTTGTTTGCTCAGTATGTTAAGTCCTTCATTCTCGAGCATTTTCATGAGATTTATTCAGTAGATTGTTAATCACATTCAGTTAAGTTGGAATTGCCGAGAATATTTGAGATTCGGTCGTAAAACGGCACAACGCCGTCGGCGGCGCTCGGTGCGTGCGCCGCGGCCAAAGTTCAGCCCTTGTGTAAATCTTCATGTTTTCAGTATAAATATGTTCACGTGTTCATGTCAAGTTATTTGAGGTCAGTTGGTTCAGAAGTTGTTGCCGGAAGGCCGGCA